GAGCGGCCGACCGAGAGGAGGGAGGGGAGCAGGCGCCCGGCACACAGAAGAGCCGCATTAGAGTGGGTAAAGAGCCGCATGTGGCTCGCGAGCCGCGGCTTGCCGACCACTGGTCTATCACATAAAATCCCAATAAAATAAATTTATGTTTTTGGTTGTAACATGATAAAATGTGGAAAATTTCAAGTGGTATGTATACTTTTTCAAGGCACTGTAGGGGAGTCAAGACCTCCTTTCTCCTGCTGGGGATCCCTCTAGTGATAACTAAAGATTTATATAGAGAATTCAACACTTTCTTCCTCCCAGTGATCCATTTTGTGATAGTTAAAGATCTGTTAGGGGAATCAGGGCCTCCTTCCTCCTGCTTGTGATCCCACTTGTACTAAAAATATCTATATTGGCTCTTAGATTGTAAGAACTGTATTATTGCTGTATTGTCTCTCGTTATATTATAAAGCACTGAGCAAACTGTTGGCGCTATATAAATCCTGTATAATAATATATTGGCAAATCATGATTTCTTGCTGGTGATCCCTCTAGTGATAACTAAAAATTTTTATATAAGGAATCAAGACATTCTTCCTCCTAGTGATTCCTTTAGTGATAATTAAAGATCTATAAAGAGGAATCTGGACCTCCTGCTGAGGATCTCTCTATTGATAACTAAAGATCTATATAGAGGAATCAGGACCTCCTTCTTCCTGCTGAGGATCTCTCTATCGGTAACCAAAAATATATACAGGGTAATCAGGACCTCCTCCTTTCTGCTGGTGAGACCTCCACTTATACTGTAACTGAAAATCGATAGAGGGGATACGGGACATCCTTCTTCCTGCTGGTGATCCCTCTAATGATAACTAAAATGTTTTATATAGGGAATTGAGACATTCTTCGTTCTAGTAATCTTTTTAGTGATAATTAAATATCTATAAAGATGAATCTGGACCTCCTGCTGAGAATCTCTCTAGTGATAACTAAAGATCTATATAGGAGAATCAGGACCTCCTTCTCCCTGCTGGTGATCCCTCTAATGATAACTAAAATGTTTTATATAGGTAATTGAGACATTCTTCGTTCTAGTAATCTTTTTAGTGATAATTAAATATCAATAAAGATGAATCTGGACCTCTTGCTGAGAATCTCTCTAGTGATAACTAAAGATCTATATAAGAGAATCAGGACCTCCTTCTCCCTGCTGGGGATCTTTCTGTTGGTAACCAGAAATCTATATAGGGTAATCAGGACCTCCTTCTTCCTGTTGGTGAGACCTCTACTTATACTGTAACTGAAAATTGATAGATGGGAATGAGGACCTCCTTCTTCCTGCTGGTGATCCCTCTAATGATAACTACATTTTTTTAATATAGGAAATTGAGACATTCTTCATCCTAGTAATCTTTTTAGTGATAATTAAATATCTATAAAGAGGAATCTGGACCTCTTGCTGAGAATCTCTCTAGTGATAACTAAAGATCTATACAAGGTAATCAGGACCTCCTGGTGGTCATCCCTCCAGGGTAACAAAATATCGATATTGAGGAGTCAGGACCTCCATCCCACTGCTAGGATCCCTCTAGTGATAACAAAAAAAATCAATATAGAGGAATCTGGACCTCCTACTGGCAATCCCTTTAGTGAAACCTAAAGGACTAACTGATACAATGCAGTGCTCTGTAGTGTTACTGTTTACAATTCTCAAAACAAACTCTCTTTACAACCAAAATCTCACTTTAACTGCTACTGTGAAGAGATTGTTATGTCACAGGAAGGGGCTGTCACATGGCAGCTCCCACTACCCTTCCCTACCAAAAACCTACTTTACTATTGTGTTACAAGAGACTGCTATGTTACACAAAAAAATAAGAAGTCATAGTCCAGTTACTGTGCTTGATCCTGCAGAGTTTCTGTCCATAACCCTATCCAAAACTAAACTTAACTTCTACTTTAACAAAGGGCCGCTTTGTCACAAGAAAGAGGTGTTAGTATTGGCATACCTTTGTCTGATCTACAGAGTTTTTATCCACAGCTCTACCTAAAGCCTATTTTAAATAACCCTGTGTTACAAGAGACTGCTGTTGACAAGAAAGAGCTACATAGTACCAGAGAAGAAGAGACTGTCATATTGAGGACCACTGCCATGGTAAAGTTTTTTTGTGTCAGAATAAGTATACCGCAGGTGCCATGGTGGGAAATGAGGCAGATGCTTCAGGATTGTCATTTTGTCGTTGCTATATAAATCCTGTATAATAATAATAGTTATTGCATCACTTTTGGTTCAGCTGCTTTATGTCATGACTACTTTGCAGTCTGAGATGTTTTTTTTTCTTTTCCATTTTCTCCCAGAAGGTACACTTTGGGATTTGTTTTAAAAATAATTTTATTTTTGTGAATGTCTCAGCATTCGCACAAAAGTCACAAATAATACTTCTCTATGTATTTACCAGCAAAGTTTGCAACAGGCTTTCATTAACATGCTAAAGTGGAGGGAGTCACAGACTGGAGCCATAATTAAAATTGTTGCACATGTAACTAGCAGCATGTTCCTTTTCAGCCTATTTTGCTACTTTGTTCCTGAAGTTTAGACAGGTAAAAAAAAGCATGATTAGATAGAAGCAGATGCTTCAAAATGAAAAAAAAAAACTTACAGTGGCCCCTTAATTTTGCCCGCTCGAATATATATTCACATAGCCGTAATTAGAAAGTCGAGTGCTTGCCTCTGATTGTACTACAAAGCCACCCTAATGTCACCGCCAAAAAAATAAAATAAAAAAAGATTCATCAGAATCCCTTGTGATTGCCGGCTGCTTAACGACAGGGCTTGATTGCAGTGGCGGAGTCGTGATGGGCGACGATTCGGAAGCCCCAGCGAAGGGTTAAAGAAGCGCAATTTGTAAACTCTTCTAAATCACATCTAGGCAATCCGGAGAGATGACATTAAGTGTGAAGGTTTTTTTTTAAACGTATTATGGATATTGAATAATGTTTCCCAGAAAAATGAGGCACTTGTTTTAGTAAATTGTAAATTCAGGATTTATTTTTTTTTTTTTTTTTTTTTAAAGTAGGTAGCACTTTAGCACGGCAGATGATTCGCCGGGTTTCACATGATGAAGCACTTTGGGTAAAATTCAGGAGATGCTATTAATCGTAATGCATCTTCGTTCTTCCATGCGAGCAAGATAAAAAGTTTTCTGTTCTCAGGAAGATGTTGGGAAGAGAGTTATTACGCTGATTATCAATTAACACCTTTCGGCACAGCAGCCTGCGGTGAGCGGCTGAGCGAGGGCAATCGGGGACGGATGATAAATGCAGATTAGGATAGGATGATGAGTAGATTGGAGCTTCTCTTGTGTCAGCTGGTCATGGTCATGAAGGGGTTAATGTAGATGTAAAGCCTAACATATAATTTGCTAAAGCACTGTGTGTTACGAACAGTTGGCCTTTTTTACATTTTGTTAAATTCGGGGCTGGTTCACACCACAATTTTGACGTTCTGGATGCCTATTAAAAGTATTCACTTACACTTAAATTTTTTGCATTTTGATGCATTTTCAATGTATTCCAGCGCCTTTTTTCCAGATTTTTTATTTTGACACTTAAAAATTTTTTACTTGCGGGGCAGTGTGGGTTCAGGTGCATTTTGACATGTTTTGATGTGTTCCGGGGGAAAAAACTGCACCATACTTTACTGTTTGGGAAGCACTGGAACTGAATGCACTGGTGTAAACTAGAGCCATTGGAATACAAAGCAATTGCTGTACATGCCAAAAAAACTGTAATGCAACTGCGTAAGTAGCCAGCCAGCACTTAACAAATGTTGCACACCCTCAAGTATATAAAAAATCTGAAAAAAGTGCAGTACTAACTCAGTAATAAAACTTGTGTAAATCAGAATACGTCTAATAACTGTACATGCGTTCCAGATGCATTTTAAAAATGTGAACCAGCACTCAGTGCTACTGATCTCGTGCAGCCTTTTCGCAACCAATTCCATGCACAACAGCAATGCTTGCGAGGTATTTCTAAGGGTGTATAACAAAAAATGGAGTGCTAATAAAATATCAACATAAAAGTCCAAAATAAAAGTCCAAATAATTCTCAAGTGAATGAGATAGGTTGCAGAAGAAGATTCTGGAGTCATATACCGTCACCAAAAACACCTGAATAGATAAGCCCCTTACCGGACGTTCAGACCGTAACCGGTCAATATATGCAGTAAATAGGAAATCACTGAAGCAAGTAATTTTCACTAGGAATCCTTTAAGATGATGAATAATCCTTCTCTATAAAGATCTTCAAAAGCAGGAAAAACTCCCATCCGATAATCAAATAAGGGATATAAAACAAAAGCAACGTCTTCCTGATGACGAAACGCATTGGATGGAGCTTCGGCGTGTGATGTCACCACGTTCTCGAGGGACGGCGGCCATATTTTCGGTTTGAAACATTTCACATTCAATGCTGGTTGTTTTATTGCTTGATGTACGTCGATCCTTTATTAACCTGTTGCCGACTGCAGATAGCCGAATGACGGCTACACTGCGGCCGGCCAGTTCTGGGAGGGCGTCATATGACATCCTTCTAGAACGCGCTCTCCTGCGCGCCCCTGGGGGCGTGCACCCGGCGATCTCCGTGATCATTGTGTCCTACGGACACAGCTGATCACGTGATGTGGTAAAAGGCCAATCACATCAGCCTTTTACCACGTGATCAGCCGTGTCCGTTGGACACAACGATCACGGAGATCGCCGGGTGCACAGCTGATCATGTGATGTGGTAAAAGGCCAATCACATCGGCCTTTTACCACGTGATCAGCCGTGTCCAATGACACGCTGATCACAGGGAAATGCATTTGCCGGTTCTTGGCTGCACTTTCTCACGCTGTCAGATCGTGAGGAAAGTACTGCTGAGAACTGGCAGTTGTTAGAGCAGGGATTGGCACCGATCATCCGGGCACTGATGATCAGTGCCCTGATGATCGGTGCTCAGCAGTGCCACCCACCAGTTCCACCCACTTGTGCCCAGCAGTGCGCCCACCTTTGCCCAGCAGTGCACCCACCTGTGCCCACCAGTGCCACCCAGCAGTGCCACACACCTGTGCCCAGCAGTGCCATCTAGAAGTGCCACCCACCTGTGCCCACCAGTGCCACCCACCTGTGACCACCAGTGCCCATCAGTGCAGCCCAGCAGTGCTGCCAGTCAGTGCCATCAGTCAGTGCCCAGCGGTTGTGCCAGTCAGTGCCCAGCAGTTGTGCAAGTCAATGCCTAACAGTGCCGCCAGTCAGTACCTAGCAGTGTCAGCAGTGATGCCAGTCAGTGCCACCTATCCGTGCCACCTCATTAGTGCCGCCTATCAGTGCCGCCTATCAGTGCCCTTCAGTGCTTCCTATCAGTGCCCATCAGTGCTGCCTCATCAACGCACATCAGTGAAGGAGAAAAATTACCTGTTTGCAAAATTTTATAATAGAAACAAAGAAACTTTTTTTTTTTAATTCTTTGCAATTTTTTGGTTTATAGTGCAAAAAGTAAAGCACCCAGCGACAAGTAAATACCACCAAAAAAAATGATAAAAATTTCATATGGGTACAATCTTGCATAACCACGCAATTGTCAATCAAAGTCCGACAGTGCTGAAAGCTGAATATTGGCCTGGTAAAGAAAATGGTATAACTATGTGCCTTATTTGATTATCGGATGGGAGTTTTTCCTGCTTTTGAAGATCTTAAAAGAAGAGGATTATTCATCATCTTAAAGGAGGATTCCTAGTGAAAATGACTTGCTTCAGTGTTTTCCTATTTACTGCGTATGTTGACCGATTAGGGTCTTAATGTCCAGTAAGGGGCTTATCTATTCGGGTGTCTTTGGTGACGGAATGCCAGAATCTTCTGCAACCTGTCTCATTCACTTGAGAATTATTTGGACTTTTATTTTGGACTTTTATGTTGATATTTTATTAGTACTGCCTTTTTTGTTATTTACCTTTATATTTACCTTTTGTGTGCAAGCTGCTTTTCCCTATTAATTTGCATTCTTGAATAATTCAGATTGTAGTTACATCCAAGCACAGTTTTTTTGTGTTTTATATTTCTCAGGGTGTGGTGACAATAGTGGGCCCTGCCTGTGTAATGTGTGCTGAAACAGCCACTTATAGTCTCCATGGGAGACCTGTGTGACAGGGTGACAACGCAGAAACAGATTTGATAGACAGGGACAGTGCGTTGTCCCCCTACAGCAGGAAATGTATGAATAGGGACCGTCATACAAGGGTCATTGAGTATTATTTGATTAGATTTTTTTAAGTGAAATTAACATATAAAGATTCTATGAGATTTTCGTGATTGCGATTATAATTACTTTAAAATGACCTGTAATCCCATTTCACAAGAATGACTGGGAAATGTGTCAGTATTACTTTGTCACTTTATTAGTTTTGGATGAAAAATGACCTGTTTGTTATTATAGATGATATCTTGCTGCTCCAAGTTTTTCTCTTCTGGCCTACAATCTAGCAAAGGTCACATAGTTATCAGGAGGTTTGTGGACGTTTCACGTCATTAAAGACTGCAAAGAGTAGACAGACCTTTCTGGGTCGACTTTCAATCAACAAAGATTAGCAAGGTGTTAATGTTGTACAGCATTACCATGAAAGATCTATCTATGTATCTAGACAGTATATATAGTCCTGAATATACAGTATATAACAAACAAGGGTCATTTTGTCCCTTTAGCAATATATTACTTCACATCTGTCTCTGTATGAGTTTATACTCCAGACACTGCGGCAGATTCAGGGTGGCTTTTTGGTCGGGGAGACTGAATTTTTTTTTCCCCCGCCGTGTTTACAATGCCTGACTCCTACACTTAAAGTCGTGTGCTGTCTCCATGGTAACTGTGTGTCCTACATGGCGTTCGCCGCCGAGTCAGCCCACACAGGTCAGAAGAGACGCACGCCCTGCAACTGATTTCATTTATTATCCTTTAAAGGCCAGACCTTGGGAAGAGGCAGACAAATCCGGCTCATTCTTCCCGTCTGCGCTGTCTCCCTGGGCTTTGCTCTAAAGACGTCTGGTGGCTGCGCTGAAACGTGTAGCAATGGGGAAGGGGGGCAGTCAGATATTCCGGGCACAGTCTAGCGCATTATTAAACAGTTAATTGTCTGGGATTGTGTCTCATGGTGTGATCACAGTTCTGAGAGAAAATGTTTGAAAAGTTTTCACAATTTCGTCTGATGATTTTGAATGGATACAACTTTTAAAGGTTGACCCTGGAAGTTACAAGGGTGCTGCGGTCAGATGTGAGAATTTTACATCTGGACAGAATTGGGGGACATGTCCTGATACTGAGTGTTACTAAATTTCTTCCTGTCGTTTGTGCTGTGTGGTTGCCTGTCCTTTTCTGGGACTCATTCACAGGTGCTTTGAGCTGCATTGGTCAGCATTAATCAATAATGGCTCATAGAAAACAATTGTTCTCTGTGTATCCTATTTTCCACCATACATGTGCAGTGGTGTGTGTTGTGTCTGCATTTTTATGGAGCACAACGCACATGACCTCGATGCATTGCTTTGCAGTGCAGAGCGTTGAATGAAACGTCATTTTTTGGCACTTCAGTAAAGTTAAGAAATGTAAACAGATGCATTGTTTTTTTTCCACAATTCTTTATTTAGCTTTTTCCAAAACACTTCAGTGCAATTTTATGACCGTAGAAAAAACATAGAGTGCAAGAACCAACACATCCCTCCCATAACCGTTATATACAATCCCCACCACATCATATAGACCAGGGGTCTCCAAACCGAGGGCTGGATGTGGCCCTTTGTTACCCTTTATCCAGCCCTTGGGGCACTATTCCTCCAACTGAGACCAACAATGGGGCAGTACTTCTTCCTATGCAACCAATGACGGTGTACTATTTTTCCCACTAATACCAATGGTGGGGCACTACTCCTCCTCCTACTGACCAACCCTGAGGCCATGTTTATTCTCACTGTTGCTGGGGCCAGGACATTTTCTATCCTCACTGGCCCTAATCCAACCCTCCTAAAGTCTGAAGGACAGTATACTGGCCCTTTGTTTGAAATGTTTGGAGACACCTGATATAGACCATTTTGTTTTATTTAAAATCGAGGTCCCAGCACCATTCCACACCCCCCCTCCCTCAGCTCACATATACATCCTCAAACCATTGATGAACAATGGGGACTGTCCCTCCCTCCTGGACTTGCATAGAGAATCGTGTGTGAAGATGCAAAAATAATGAAGAAACAGGCATGTAAAACAAGCAATTCACTGTGACAATGCATTACTCTATCACTCACAATGCACCCCAATGTGCACGTGCTATACGGAGCATAATGCATAAGGGTTGGTGTTAACAAGTTGTTAGTGTTCTCATCTTAGGTTTGAAATGTAACTTTTGAAAATTCACGTAGGTTGTTCCCTTGTTCCCTGGCAGTCACCACTGTCTTCTCAGGGAGAACTGAGTGATCAGCAGTGTTTGATTTCTCAGTTCTCTCCTTAGAGCTGGTGGGAGACATGCAGTATCGGATCGATGCTGCATCCACCTAGGTAAGTATGATTTTTAAAAAAAATCCATACTTCTCTTTTAATCTCTAGTGCAATTACTTTGTCTAGGCTGAAATAATGCTATCAGTCAGCTGCAAGCAGGAGGAAGCATTTCCTCAGTCGTTTTTCCTTCAGTGATCAGTTTGTAACATTGTAACTTTGTAGCAAGTCATAAAGTGAGAGGCTGCAGGAGGGGCTGATCTGTGTCAGACATTTGTGAGCACATCCAGGAACTGCACAGGCAGTTTACATGACTGTCATTGTATAGATAGTGACCTTGTTTGATGCCTGAACAAATATGACCATATTTCTGGAGGGGAAAGTAGATGAAGGCATTGTGATAGATAGTAAGTACTGTTATCTATGTGAGAGGTAATAAATACCTGGAAGTGTTACACTGACATGTTATTGAGCCTGTATGTTTTTAACATTAAAATATGTCTGATGACAGGTCCACCTTAATAATATTACTGAGCGATGATAGCGTGCTTTGAAAAGGAGCTTCATACATTGTCTTCTGTACATTTGTGCAAATGTGCTTCTATTTTTGGCCTCTTATGATGTTTATTATTATTATTGTTGTTCTTGCCTTGTCTTAAGGCTTCTTTACACTTGCAGGGCTATGTGAGAAGCAATCCTCGTTTGCATAGCTCTTCAGAGGTCATTTAACAGGTGGTTAGGAGATGTTTTATCGCCTCCTCACCATCTGTTTTAACCCACCTAAATACCAGACTACTGATTGGTCGCAGCTGGCCTCATCCATTCACGATCGGCGAGCAATTGTGCCTGTCAAACGCAACAAGGGGGGTGTAATCCCTGCTGCAGCTGTAAAGCATTGTAGTTTTGATATATATACCCCCCCCCCCCCCCCGCTGTTGTCTTTCCAGCTGTTGAGGGTTGGTGAAAATATGTCTCAACCATGGGATTTTACTGCCCCTCTCAACCGCTAGTGTAAATGAGCCCTAAGTCTATTTGTTTTTTTTAATAAACATTTATGTTTGTTTTTAATTTTTGTATCCAGAAGTTTTCTTTGAGGATCAATTTCATTAGTTGTGTATTTGTGAATTGATGTGTCAGATGCTTACACAGAATTCTTATTTCCATCGTGCAGGGTGTCACACTGCGCAAAATTCTTCTGAATCGTTACTTCAAGGGTGATTACGGCTCCTCTGTGAATGGGCCGCTGTCAGCAGGATATGGGAAATCTGGGGCGTCAGCTGGTAAGTCATTTCCTCGCGGCTTCTTTTAGGGCTTATGAGGCTCATTAGGTTTGATATTAGTAAATGTATTGCTAAAGTTTCAAAAGTGTGTCACAGTATTCCTGGGACAACGATGGAAAAAGAAATGAAAGTATTAACACTAATAATAATAATAAATATTGTTTATAAATGATTGATATAATTATTGGTAAGTTTAGGCCATAGTGTACACCTGGGCTGCCCCATCGGATTGTTTCCTATTACATTTTATCATATTTATTACCTACTGATGGAATATGTTTGTTCGGAGGTTTTCTTTTCATCTTCACTAGAGCAGTAGTGTATGCCCTGTGTCATCTGTTGCTCACAGACCACAGACAGCCGCTGTGAACCTAAAGATCGACTCTAAAAGTAAAATTCTAGTTTGTAGGTTGATATACTGCAGGGTTTTTGCTGCTCTCCAGAATGCCAATAGCAATATTTCTGTCCTGCCTTACACCATATTTCTCCAACCTTTTATTCTTTTAAAGCCAATGTTTAATCTGCTTTTATTTTGCCTTCCAAGGTTCTTCCTTTTCCGTTTAGTGAATAAGCTTAAATAAAACATTTGCATTTTCATTATATGTCTTTATGGACCCAGTGACAGCATCATCAGGTCTCTGTGTTCTATAGGCAATGAAGGCAGATCTTGGGTGGTGGGAGGGGCTAGCAGGGTGCAGTACATACAGCTTCCCGAAAACATGACAGAACCCT